CACTTTTATTGTTTTCCTTTTTAGATGAAGAAACTGGGGCTGGAGTCAAACAATGCACTATTGGATGAGGATAACTATGAGCCTGACCTTTCTTGTGTGTAGCTTTAGTGCTCATTCACAGAAGCATGCAACGTGGACCCCACTCTCCTCATTTCACAGATAACACTGAGATCCCAAGGCACTCTGTCCACTGTAACCAGCCACACAGCTTGGGAGCAGTGAAACTGGGATCCCACCCAGAACCTCTGCTTCTGCCCCAACTCTCCACTGCAATGCACACATTGTCTGGAGCTGGGGAGATGGGGAAGGGATGTAAGTGAGGTTGGAAGGAAAATGTGGGAGGCAGGTTTGTCATAAGGACCAGGAAAGTGAAGGTGGTCAGGTTGGTTTTCTTACCAGTTGGTCGACCAGGTGGTGCTTCAGATGAAGGCAGCCGTGGGTGGAGGCCAAACAAGGAAGGGTCAGGGAGTCATTGGGGCCAGGTGACAGGTGCAGCCCCCGAGGGCTGTGAAGTCACTGAGGGAGGGTGCGTGGGCTGAGGGGAGCAGAGGGTGGGTCTAAACTGTGGGCACTGCTGAAGTTTGGGGACCTGGGCTATGGCTCTATCTCCCTGCATGATCCAGAATTTTCTCAGCTGAAAATGAAAAAAGGATCCCTCTTTCACAAGGTTACAGTAGAAGGTATGTGAAATGTGCAATGTGTGGGGTTTGGCTCACTCATTTCTGGGAAGTTCTCTCTTCCTCTTCCCCTCCTCTCCCCTTTGTTGAATTCACACTCTGAGTATACGCTGGAGTCACGAGTGTTTGACCAAACGAGGCAATGGGATGTCCCTCCTGAAGAGCCTTAGAAATGAGACAGTTGTGCCCCAGTGACCTGAGATGTCAACTCCCTCACAACCAAACTCATTATTGCGAGTAGATGCTGACTCCTACAGAACACAGTGGAATCACTATGGATTCTCCTATGGAGTGGCTGGCAGGTTCAAACTGCCAACCTTTCCGGTAGTAACCGTGCTGCACCACCAGGGCAAGGGATAATAATGACAAGAGGTCCACATGGCTGTGACATTTCTCTCTCCCTCCACCTGTCTCGCTCTCTCATTCTTGCTCTCCCCATCTTTGTTCTACCTCCTCCTGCTCTCCTTCTCTCTTCTGTTGCAAAAAGCCTTTGACTGGGCACCAGGAACTTCGGGCGCATAAAGATGAGTACATTCTTTCTGTGTCCTCAACTTTATTCCAGTCATTTAACAATCACATAAAGAGCACAGGCCCAGTCTGCCCACTTATCCATCCAACCCATCAGCCCCCCGCTATGTGCTGGGAGACACATCTGGGTGGGGCCCACTGCCTGGTCAGAGGGATTCCTGGTTGTGAGGAGGGTGGTTTCTGCAGTGGGAGGATCGATCTGGGCTTCGCTTTCTGGGTGTCTCCTCATCCTCTTTGTCATGAGCATGGATCTACATCTGCTAAACAAAAAGCTGTTGTCCCCTCACCCCCTCCTGTGCCCAGCCTGGCCCTCATGCCAACAGTACAGGCTGGGGAACTGGGATGGGCTGGATTGTTGTTGAGGGAGGGGTTTCTGCTCTGCCCTGACCTGGGTCTCAGTGCCCTGACTGCTGGGTCAGGAAGATTCTAGCTCAGACTATTCAGGTGTAACAACCGCATAGGGTGGGCCTGTCCACTAGACAGCAAGAGGCTTTTACCTGTGGTTGGTGGCTCTGCTGTTCAATGGAACCCACTCCTAGGTCAGCCCAGGATGGAAAGTGACCACCATCTCAGGTCGCTCTGACAAGCTGCTTGGCTTACCACTGATCCTAGCTGGGTCTCAGTTCTCTACTGCTTCCCGGGTTGCTGGGAGACCTAGCAGTTTGGTGTGTGATCTCTATAAATGGTGGCTAGAGAATCATTTTGTTGTTACTGGTTGCCATGGAGTTAACACCAATTCATGATGACCTCATGCTTGTGGAACAGGACTGCTCCATCAGGGTTTCAAGGCTGTAACCTTTCCTAAGTAGGTCACTAGGCCTGTCTTCCAAGGTGCATGTGGCTGGGTTTGAAGGATCAACCTTCTGGCCAGTAGTCCATTGCTTGTCCATTTGCTCCATGCAGGGACTGCAGATAATAATAGTAAGAACAAATAGCAGGAGGCCAGCCTCTGCACAGAGGAGAGGAAGGGGCCCAGGAATGTCATAGCAGAACCTGGCACCCTACTGCTCAGGGCCTGGGTCTACTTTGTACTTGGCCAAACTGAAATTTCAGAGCAGCCTATGTTTTACAGGCAAAGCCCAGAGACTCTTGCTCTTGGCTCCATAGTTGGCTATTTTCCTTAGTATTCACATAGCTGCATGATAAGGCAGCCTGCCCAGCTGGGAGGAGAGGACAGGAGCGAGACATGCCATGTGCTGGGTAGAACAGGATTGTGAACTAATGAATCAAGGACCTCAAGAGACTGCAATCTGGGACCGAAAGACACAGGGTACCTGGACTGTATGTTTTATCAGTCTCTGCTCTCTCTGGCCCAGGTGGTTTCCTGGAGGCCACAAGGGCTGGTCTTGCTACCTGCTGGGGCTTTCCAGTCACCACCTTCAGCCCCACAGCCAGTCTGCCCAATGGGGAAACTGGGACCCCAACAGGCTAGGTGAGGTTGGAATCTGACCCTAGAAGGTGTGCTTTTTCATTTGACTGTTTTCCACATTCATTCAGGTCCTAAACAAGTAACTTTCTTAGTTAAATGGGGACTCTTCACTGTGTGTGCGTGTGTGTGTTCACACCTGTGTGAGACTGTGCACGTACACGTGTGTGTACATTTGAGCATGGTGGTGGTGGTGGTGGTGGTGTGTTATGGAATCGGTTCTGGCTCATAGCCACCCTGTATAGCGTTTCCGAGGCTGTAAATCTTTACGGGAGCAGCAAGCCTCATCTTTCTCCCACACAACTGCCGATAGTTTTGAACTGCTGACCTCTACACTACCAGAGGTCCTTATGTTGGTGCACATACAATCAAGAACTGTATCTTCTCATAATTTCTAATACTCTGTGTACTACCAGCACTGAAAAACTGAGCCTCAGACAAATGACCTCATTCCTTCAACTACGTCTAACGTTTCCTACAAATGACCACCAGTTGGACAACATCTACCATCTGCAACACTCTCACATACAGTGACTCCTGCAATCTTAAAGGAAAGGGGGTCACTCTGCTGGACCCTTGGCATGCATGATGTAATTGTAATTTAATCCTTCCTATAACCCAGCAGGGTAGGGGGGTTAGTGTTCCCATTTTACAGATGGAAAAATTGAGGCACAGAGACATGAACAGACTTGCCCTTGCTCCTTGCCATCACACCAAGTGGTTTCTTGTTAAGAAAGATATGGTAGCAGGAAGAGAAATCCACTGATGGGCTTCAGAGTGCCTACCATCTTCTGGGGTTGGTACCTCTTGGGGTTCCCACCTGCTCCAGGCCTTATCGAAGCCCTTCAGAAATGGCATGAGTTTAGTCACCTGGGAGAAGTGCCCATCAGGGCCAGTCTCCCGATTTTGCTATCTTTAAGTTAGGTGAACCTGGGCAGGTGTTCTCACTCCTCTGAGCCTTAGTATCCACATCTTGTTGACCCAGTTGTTGTACTGTGGTGGCTTGTGTGTTGCTGTGACGCTGGAAGCTATGCCACAAGTATGTCAGATAACTTCAGGGTCACCTATAGTGGACAGGTGTCAGTACAGCTTCTGAACACAAAGACAGACTAGGAAGAAGGATGAGGCAGTCTGTTTCTGAAAACGCAGTCCCTGAAAACTTTATCAATAACAGCAGAACATTGTCTGGAATAGTGCCGGATGATGAGCCCCTTAGGTTGGAAGGCACTCAAAATACAATTGGGGAAGAGTTGGGCTTATGAAAAATACTTTTGTTGTCATAACTAACTGTTGTTGTTGTTAAGTGCCATTGAGTCGATTCCGACCCATTGAGACCCTGTATAGGGTTTCCAAGGAGCAGCTAGAGAGTTTGAATCACCAACCTTGCAGTTCAAACGACTTTACAATCTGATGCATTAGCCCACAGCACCACACCAGGACTCCCATAGCTAACTACAGTAATATTTTTATGAAAAAAAAAAAAAAAAACAAAACTAGAAGAAAAAAAAAAAAAAAAACATTTCTGGTGAAACATTGCACCAACATTTTATAAGACGATCATTTTGGTGTCACCCTTTCTGACCATGTCACCCAGTGCCCTCTGTCCACTGCTTCCAAGAAAATGTTCCTGCCTGGGATGGAAGACCAGGGCTGCCATTCCTATTACTGATAATAACCATGACCATCACATACACACCCGGAGAATGTCCCTCAACCATCTGGTTTACCCCAGAGTCTGGCACATGGCTTGGTACATAGTCGATACTCAATTACTATTTGCTGAATAAATGAATGAATGATCAACTATCCAAATGTACCAGTCTGCTATGAGTGCAACAAACATCTTCCCATTTATTCACATTTAACCCCTATAACCACCTTATGAAGTGGGTATCCTATTCTCTCCTATTTCACAGATTAGGAAACTGAGGTTTAGTTGCTCATTGCTGCCCAGTTAACTAAGAGCAGGGCTTTGCTGAGAGATGTGAAATAACAAAATGTACCTTCAACCAGGTTCTTGTCAATCAGAAGGCCTAGGTTCTAGCCTTGCTTCCAGAACTCTCTAGCTCTATGACCTTAGGCAAGTCACAGACACTTTCTGAGAGGAATCAGACCTTGTTTGCTTCCCAATAATTCTTCATGGTGAGGTGCACAGGAACTTGTACTTGTGTAAGGGTCAAGAGCCCACTGCAGTGAGCCTCGGCACCTCTCCAGACCTCTCAGGTCTTATCCCAGCCAGCTGTTCTCCTGGCAGTGGCTACCAAGACTAGAGCCTGGAGTTGGAGCCAAGCACACATTCTGTGTTGGCAGGACAGCCTTGTACAGCATCCCTGGACCCGCCACCTGTCCCTGAAAGGCCCTGTTCTCACCTGAGGATGTTGACTCGAGACTCGGTGCCCAGCACACACACAGCATGGGTGGGCCGCTCTGGAACCACGCAGATTACTGCCCCCTGGGCCATTATCCAGCCTGCACGTCCCTCCTGCTGCAGGAAGCCCCCGGGCTGGTTCCTTTATACCGCCCAGCAGAGGCCATGAGTCAGCGCCTGTGGTGGAGGCCCATGGCCTCAGCCCCTCCCGCTTAGGTCCAGGGCGGGTACTCTGCCCTCCTCTGCCCCTCGGACAGCCCTCTCAGTGCCAGGATCAGAAGCAGTCAACTTGCTCAGTGTTCTGGGAGGTGCTGGCGGGGAGGGGGAGCAGGCTCACTCTTCCGTGAGGAAGCTCTCACCTGGGTGCAGTTCTGAGCCCTCCTGCCGTGACCCCGCCCAGCTGGGTGCCCATGACCATCTACATCCACCCAACTGTGCCAAACAAGGGCATCTGAGAAGAGAAAGCAACATAAGCAGGAAGGTCAGGATTTTAAGCAAGAGGTCACAGCCCTGGCTATACGAGGCGTGGGGCAAGTCTCTGCAGGCTGGGTTAACCACATGGCAGCAACCTCTTCTTCAATGTGCCCTGTGTGCCAGGCACCTGCGTGTACTTGGTCTGGAGTCGCTCATGATAGCAGGGTTAGGAAAAAGGCATTCTTACTATCCCCCTACCTCACCCTGACGTTGATACCATTAACATCCCCACATTACCGGGAAAGAAACTGAGGTACAGAGAAGTCACACAGCTAGAAAGCACTGGAGTTCTAGAGTGTGGGGTGGTTCTCAGCTACCTGTCTATGCCATGCATACTTTTCAGACTTTGTCATATCTACTTGTGATGCTGTAGGATAAGCACTGGACTAGTAACAGAAGGGTCAGCAGTTCAAACCCACCAGCCACTCTCAGAAACTCTATATAGGGTCACAATGAGTAGGAACCAATGTAACAACATGCAACAAAAGAACTCTCACTACGGTACAACGTATGTGTTCTTGTTGTAAAGTGCCTTTGAGTCATAGCGACCCTGTACAGGATTTCCAAGGAGCAGCTGGTGAGTTTGAACTGCTGACCTTGCAACCGACCTTGGGGTCCAGTGATTTGTCGGACAGTGCTACATCAGGACTCCACAAGATATGGTGGTGGTGGTTATGTGCCGTGGACTCAGTTCCGACTCATAGCCACCTGGTACAGGTTTCCGAGGGTGTAAATCTTTACGGGAGCAGAAAGTCTCATCTTCCTCCTGCGTAACGCTGGTAGTTTCGAACCGCTGACCTTGACGTTCGCAGCCGATTTGTAACCACTATGCTACCAGAAGGACTTCTGGTAGCGTAGTGGTTATGAATCGTGCTGCGAACCTTAAGGTTAGCGGTTTGAAACTGCCCACCACTCCGCAGGAGAAAGATGAGGCTTTCTACTCCCGTAAAGATTTATACCCTCGGAAACCCTGTACTGGGTCACTATGGGTCGGAACTGACTCGACGGCACTTAACAACAACAACAACAACAACAACATGCTACCAGAGCTCCTATGCATGTATTATTGCTACCCATTTGTCAGAAGGGAAAATTGAGGCTCAGAGAAGACAAGTGCCTGTCCAAGGCCCCATAGCCAGTGCATGGCTGAGCTGGTCTGGAAGCCAGTGTTCTCTGCACACTTCAGGGTGCCTGTCTTTTGCTGGGACTTTTGGGTGTCAGACTAGACAGAGCTGCCACCAGGACACTCACTCAGCCACAGAGCTGTGGTTACATTTGGGCCTTTGGTGTCAGGCTTTGTCTGCCCATGGGGTGCCGAGTGAGAGGACTAGACAGGCCCCAACAGGGAAAAACCAGAGGGTCCATGCACAGGGATCTAGAAAGGAGCATTGTGGTTGGGGATGCTGTGTTTTGTTTGCTTTGGTTTCAAAGTAGAGCATTTGCATTAGTAATTAAGAGTCTGACTTTGAAAATGGACAGGTCTGAATTCAAATTCTACTTCATACCAAATGCCTGTGAGGTGGGTCCTAGCATGATGCCCACTTGATAGATGAGTAACAGAGGCTCAGAGAGGCTAAATAAGTCTCCTAAGGTCCCACAACCCATACAGCGAGGGGTCCAGGACCCAACCCCGTTTTCTAGCTTCTAAGCCTATTTTCTTTACCAGAATATAATGGAGCCAAACCTGCTGCTTGGATGCGTCTATATAACTGCTCGTACACAGAAAATCTTGATAAAGGAAACTTCTTTGTGACCCATACAATTCAAGCTCATTTGAGCTTCTAATAAAAGTTGGCAGGAGGGAGCCATCAATTGTCAGAGTTGAGAGAGTCCCCAGAGAAATCCAAATCCAGTCCTCATTCTATGGGGATGGGAAACACAAGGCACAGAGAGGGCATGTGAAATGCCCATGGTCACACAGCAAGTCAGAGGGAGGGTTCAAATTCCACCATGTCTTAGGTCTCCTGGGTAATGTTTCCTTTATTTTTATTCTTTCCACTCAAAGTAGGGGGTCTAAATTTGCTGTGGATAAGCCACAAAGAGGACAAGCTAAAAGCAATTTTATGAACTTAACAAATATTTATTGAGTATCTAGTACTTGCCAGACACTGTGGAGACACAGTGAATGAAACAGACCAAGATTCCTGCCTTCCTGGAGTTTATTTTCTAATAGAAGTCGACACTCAATAGGCATGAAATAGAATAAGTGAAATATATGGAAAAATGAAGTAGCGGGAGGGCCGTTAGGAACATGCTGTGAGTGGCAGGTTGCAATTTTAAATAGGGTGGTCAGGGTAGGTGACAATGTGAGTATTTGGGGAAAGGATGTTCCAGGCAGAGGAACAGAATACAACCAGTGTGAAGATACTGCTGCAGAGACGTGCCTGTGGGCTCCTGGAAGAATGAGAAGGAAGGCCCTTGTGAGTGAGGTAGAAAGAGGAGGAGGGTGGAGGGAACAGCAGGAGAGGAGGTGGTAGTGAGGAAACAGATCCCAAAGAGTCTTTGGGGAGCATTGTAAGGATGTTGGCTTCTATTCCAAGTCACATAAGGAGCCATGGGGAAGTTTGATCAGAGGAGGAACATAACATGATTTGGTTTCTTTGAACTCAGCCCCTTAGGTTGCTTCATGAAAATAGACCACAAAAGGTCAAAGACGCACAGGAGACTAGACCATGGGATAAACAAGGAAGGATGGAGGCCAGGAAATGGTTACTGTAGGTAGGCAAGAGATTATGGGGGCAACGGACGAAGCAAAAAGTGGTCAGCTTGGATATATTATGATGCTATAGCCAACAGGATTTGCAGGTGGGTTGTATGTGGGAACCAGGAAAAGAGAGGAACCAGGGTGATTCCAAAGTTAGGAGACTGAGCACCTGGAAGGATGGAGTTGCCATCATCTGAGCTGGGGGAGTCTGGGGGAGTCTGGGGCAGGGAAGGTATGGGCAGTGGGGACATCAGTTTAGTCCTGGTCATGTCAAATGTGAGGTATCCATTACAGCCTATGCCCAGAGATCCTGTAGGGCGAGTCAACACATGATTCTGGAGTTCAAAAGAGAGGACCAGGCTAGACGTTTAATCTGTGAGCTATTGGCTTGGAGAGCTCACTGAGGGATGAACATGCTTGGAGACAAGAGAAGACCAAGGAGTAAACCCTGAGGCACTTTAACAGAAACGGAGAGGGATCCACCAGCGCGAGAGAGAATCCAGAGAGAAAAGCCTTGTTAATTCCATAGGAGACAATGAAAGGTTTATAAGCATTCCTTTCATTATAACACTGGGACGCTTCACTCTACCTACACACACATGTGCTCCACATACACACACATGTGCACACAGTCTTGGGGCGAGCAGCTGACCTGCAATGGCCTCTTTGCTGACCTGCGCTTGGTCATGCAGGGCAGGGTAGGAGCAGTGGTCTTTGGAGTGGGCAGAGATGAGAGCAGGGGTCAAGATTAGTGAAACAAGAGGCAGATGGGTCTGGGAGAGGGGTATGGGGTACCACTCACCCTACTCTAGCATCTCTGAAGGCTACTTCATCCCATAACTGCCTCCTACTGTTGGACGCGGAGGCTGTTTGTAACATTTCAGCATTATAGATGATGGTGTGATGCATGAATAAACTGTGCTTACATCTGCGGCTATTTGCATGGACTTTGTGGATTGTCTTTACATAATCTAGTCACTGCTGACACCTCCATCCTCACCTGGGGCCTCTCTCCCCCAACTCACCTTGCTCCAGACAGCCAGGTCTTCCTTCAGTCCCTAGAAGGGCTCAGGAAGTTTTGGGTTTCAGGATCTCTCTGGAGAGCACTCCTCTAGCGTTGTCTCCTCATTATGACCTCTGCCCTGACCCGAGTGATGCTTCAGTAGCAGGGATGGAGCTTGAGAACAATGACTGTATGTAGTCAGGTGGCATGGGTTCAAATCTTAGCTCTGCACACCTTCTAGCTGTGTGAATCTGCATGAGTTACCTTAGTGCCTTGTGTCTCAGTTTCCTCATGCAGAATAACCATTCTTACTTCATGAGATTGCTGGGAGGATGAGATGAGTTAATACATATAAAACTTCCAAAAACGATATCCGGTGGTCTGTTTCTGTACAGACGAATCCAAGAAAACCCCATAGAATAGCTCTTTTCTGTAACATCTGGGATTGCCAGGCGTCAGTCAGAATCAACTCAACAACAATGGGTGTGGTTTTTCGGTTTGGTTATTAAACACCTGGGTGGTGTGAAGTTAATATGTTTTGCTGCTAGCCAAGAAGTTGGAAGTTTGAGTCCACCTAGAGGTGTCTTGTGAGAAAGGCCTAGTGAGCTATTTTCAAAAACCCATCACTGCAAACCCTGTGGGTACAGTTCCACTCTGATGCACATGAATTTGAAACGAGTTGGAATCGACTGATGGCAGCTGGTAAGTGGCGCACTTGTCATTAGTCCCTGAGCTACATTGGTTCTAATTCTCCCCATACCGCATGGGACAGAAATGCCATCTCAGTCCTGCAGAGTGGTGAGCTGCCATGCTCTAGGTCTCCAACCCAGCTCCATAGGACACACTTACCAGGTGCCTGGATTGCATCACTTCTAATCCAGCAACCTGGCTTCAGATGAGGAAATTGGGCCT